ATAAAACTTGTTAGTTTGAGTTGTCAAATAAATAAATATACTGATATTTTCACAGGACTTTTGAAATTGCAACACTTGTTTCGTATGACTGTCGGAACTAACAAACTACAGTTGCAAGTGGTTGAGAGGATTTCTAACGCTTCCCATGCAAACACCTTCTTACTTTCGATAGAAAAATCTAATCGAGAAAGCACGAAATACGTTGTTCTTGACTGCAGTGCTGATACAGCAAGAAACATTATTATCAATCATGTCAAAGATATCTACATGGGGAGGAGAAACTATCACTACCTACTAACTAGTTTGGTAAGTATCGACCAATCATGATCATACATGTTGTAGAAACTACCACTACCTACTTACTAGTTTGGTAGGTAACGATCAATCATGATCATACATGTTGTAGAAACTATCACTACCTACTAACTAGTTTGGTAAGTATCGACCAATCATGATCATACATGTTGTAGAAACTACCACTACCTACTAACTAGTTTTGTAAGTAACGACCAATCATGATCATTCATGCAGGAGAAACCACAACTAACTACTAAATAGTTTGGTAAGTATCGACCAATCATGATCATACATGTTGTAGAAACTATCACTACCTACTAACTAGTTTTGTAAGTAACGACCAATCATGATCATTCATGCAGGAGAAACCACAACTTACTACTAAATAATTAGTTTGTCTTCCATGACATTTACTAATCATCTCTCTCAGTTTCACTGGGAATGCTGTTGATTAACTTTAATGGAATTCAACTGACTGTTGAAAGAAAAGACGACGTTGCGGCTTATATACTGAAGAAGGCCTCAACATAGAAACAGAAATGTCAGATATGTTTCTTTCAACAGTCAGTTGCATTCCAAAGATGCGAAACTGGTAAGGAATTAAAATGAATTGAAGTTCTTAGATTTCTTCTATTTATTATAAACATTTTCGTTTTCCATAATCCAGATAATGGACGACTCGTGGAACTCCAGAATACTGGAGTTCGGAGCTATCAACGTGACCGGTTTTAGGATGGTTCAGCCCAACAGTTTGGAATACCGTAGGCTCTTGACAAGCTTGTCTCCAGTAGTCAATGCCAGTTACATTTCTGTGAGTACGAACGAAATAATTTCTTATAATTCGAGCTAGTAACTCCATTCAACCCACAAATTAAAGACGAATAGAACGTATGCCATTTAACTCGTAAATTCTATTACAGATATCAACTTTCCCATATTATTTGCCTTGTACGTGTATATCGTATCTACTCACTGTTTCCATAATTACCTCCAATACTGTATTTTATTGTTAAGATAATAGAATTGTATTGTATTCGAGAATGCGTGAAATTTATAAAACATTTTTCAAGCTATTTAAAGCGCTAAAATGTCGATTAGGCTAGAGAGAGTTATATGTCGTATTTTATACCAAGATAGTTATAGTTTATTCTCCTTATACAATATACAAATATAACAGAAAATGTTATGGTTTCGGTCAGGGAGAAAGAAATTTGACTTTACGCTAAACGTCCCTAATTTTGAACTACTAACCAGAGTGAAGCCAGCCAACAGCATCCGCCACCTCAAAAGCTTTGTTCAAATAACGGAATTGACTGTAAAGTGTCCAAACTAGAAAGACTGAAATATGTTCAGCAACATCTCAAACCTTGGACCTTTCAATCCGCAGCCTGGAATTCTAATCGACTGGCCACGCCCACCTCAAACTTTGAGGAAATTTGTGATAAAATTTGAAGCTATAATCTTGCTTCTGAAATGCAACAATGACTGAAAAATATAAAGAAAATTAATTATATTTATAGATCGTAATATTGAAAGAATGTTTATCAATAGAAATGTCGTAGACATTAGAGGTCCGAATAAGAATTATAGGCTCTAATTTGGAGACAGATAGAGATAGAAAGAAAGATTTAGAAAAAGTTCGTTCGTTTGTTGTTGAGCGCAAAAAAACCAAACAAAATGAGTTATCTCTGTTGTCCCCACCGCAGGTTTCGTGCCTTAAATTTTAGAGTTACTCAAGCATGTAGCTGAGTCACCAGTTGGCTTTTATTAAAAAAATCAAATAGTACATGTATATTATGAGGCTTGAGTTTTTAGATTTTAATTTATTTTATCTTTATATCTAACATGTTGTGATAATACATATAAACGTGCCTGAATTTTTTAAAGAAAGAAAATAATGAAAGTAAATGAAAACGTTTTTTGAACATCTAATAAGAATAATTCCATGTGTAAATTTAACATATAAAAAAGAGATTCCTTATGAAATAGTTAGCTAATAAGCAAATGTAGTTATACTGGAAATTTTGAATTCGAATAAAGGAATACAACAAAAATTCCAGTTCGCCTGCTAAAGATATAGGCTTAGAAGAATATAAACATAAAAGGAATTATTATAAAATAACTATCATTTACCACCCTATTTCATGAACACAACAGACATCCATGGATCCAACGTGAACTGGTGATGTTGTCCACATAAAGTTCTGCTTTCCCTAGTTTGCTAATATCAACAGCGTATGTTACAGTAGCCTGGAAATAATCTCAGTAGCCGATTCGTAAGCCAAATATAATTCACATTTAAACTTCTCAGCTATGGCTGGAACAAGAGGTGAAAATCGTTATCGCTTCCAATACTCTAAGTTTTTTTTTATTTCTTCGCAATAGCATCTTGAAGCAACAACATCTTGTGGACAGATTTATAAACTGTCAAGCTTCTCCAATCGTCACTGTACTTATTTACATATTTTTGTACTTTGATTGTAAGCTGGGTTTGAATCCTTGCGAACACCACAAAGTGTTTTTGCGCTTTAAGTTGTGGGTGCGTTAAAAGAATGACAGTCAATCCCTCAACATGGATAGTGAGTGGCTGGATGCTGCTCTCTGGCTTTTTTTATGTTTAATAGTCTAAACCAGGGACAGCAGCAGATAGACATGGTAGCTTTATCATAAATAAAACATACAATTGCAACCTTTGGGTTTTCCTGCATCATTGTTGCGTCTCTAATTGTTATTTGCATGGACTTAAAACCTGTTCTTGTTTTTTATCATTGAGCATGTCGAAAAAGATGAAACGTTTTTATTTTTGGAGTTTCGATTTAATCTCATTGATAAACACACGTGCTTGTCGACATCTGTATCTGTTTCTATCCCAGACCGAAGTTGCATTAATGTACGACGGAGTGCAAGTGGTTCTAGATACTTTCAA